ATTTTCGATTCTTAAAGTGTGAATTTGTTTATCCGTTTGCCGCTGACATTCTGTCCTGGCGCACATACATCAAGTAGATTGCGACTGGAATATTACCAAGCTTTAGAGTGCCTTACTGCGGCACTAAAACAAATGGCACTACGATGCTAATTCTGAATATAATGTTATATGCAGATATTAGTACTAAATCTCATGTTCTTTTGCAAGTCAAGTGAAGATATAGCTGAATTGGTAAGAATTCAGTAATGCTATTTTGAAAAGTAAAGAATCGGGGCCTCTTGCCTCGGCGATAATTTTTGTTCAGTTTTGCTGAAATCATATTTCTTGTTATCAGGATATACTTTGCAATCTTTGTTTTTAATGACGTCGTCTACGGCTTAACTCAACTTTTGTTAACCTTTATGTGATTTACATATATATTCTTTTATTTGCAAATCGCCAAAAACGATTGTAGACTATAACCAAAAATTGACACTAAATTAAACAGTCCCTGACTTTACACCTTAACCATTGTTATTTCGCTGCTACATTTATGGAAATCAGATACTGCGATTAAAAATAAATTTCATTAATATGATCGTAATTTAATTATTTTTGGAGAGTTAATACGCAAATTTTTGAAAATAATTTTTCTAAGAAAACATATTTAAATTAAACCATTTTTTATACTTTGCTTTTAGTTGCAAAATGAAGGTAACTCGAAATCCAAATCACAGTATTGTAGAGCGAAATTATGTTAACTATAATAGATACTGAACACTCATAAAACATGTACTGTTTAACTTTATAATATTTGTTTATTTTTTATTATTAACTTATTTGACTTTAATGCAAATTAATATATTAAAAAATGTTTAGGTATGAAATAAGTTGACTTACATTTGCTTTCTTTTCCACTTTTTTACACCAAAAGGCATTTTGAAATATCTCAAAGCACTTAATCAAACCTCTTTTTATAGCAGTTCAATCAAGAATGATACTTTTTTTTGGAACATAACTATTGTAACAATTGATATTATTTGTTAGCATTGTTAAAATGAATAAAAACCATCACCATTGTTAACAATTACATATCGTCAATTGTTTTCTTTTTGTAAATGCATCATTGTTGACATATATTTATTTTTAATTGTTGGGATTGGAAACTGTAAAAAGATTTAATTAATATTTAGAAATTTTTTAATGGAAATTAATTTTAGCTGGAGTTCTGTGCCTGAAGCCAGTATCAGTTAAAATTTAATAGCTATTTTAATAGGGCATGCAATTGCACCGCGATTTTCCATCTAATCTAAGATTAGATTCCATTGAAGCCGATTTTCGGTTTTTGGCATGACAATCGTCAAAAATTTATGAAAACAACAAGAACTATCAAAAATTTAAATGTGAATATTAGATAATCCGTTTGAAGTTTTTGATGTTAAATTTAAAATATTAAAGTAATGTAGGTTTGAATATATACTTATGTTAAAACAAATATTTAACTGTCATTATTTCAAGTCAGAAATTATAGTTATAAGCAACAATTTTTTTTCCTAAACCCATTTAAATTTTCAGTTAGTAACCAGTGTCCGGTAGACTCTAATAACTTAGTAGCCACTTTCTCTTCGAACCTACGGCATCGATTACCAATGCTGATAGGTCCTATTCATTTAATAGCCACTTTTGGCCCATTTTTTTGCTTGGATTGAATCATATGATTTTTTAAAAAAAATTCATATTAAAAATAATCTAAGGTTATTAGAAAAATTATTCAGCAACATAAACAATATAAATATATGACAATATTTAGTTAAACANAATTTAAATGTGAATATTAAATAATCCGTTTGAAGTTTTTGATGTTAAATTTAAAATATTAAAGTAATGTAGGCTTGAATATATGCTTATGTTAAAGCAAATATTTAACAGTTATTATTTCAAGTCAGAAATTATAGTTATAAGCAAAATTTTTTTTTTCTAAACCCATTTAAACTTTCAGTTAGTAACCAGTGTCCGATAGACTCTAATAACTTAGTAACCACTTACTCCTCGAACCTACGGCATCGATTACCAATGCTGATAGGTCCTATTCATTTAATAGCCACTTTTGGCCCATTTTTTTGCTTGGATTGAATCATATGATTTTTTAAAAAAAATTCATATTAAAAATAATCTAAGGTTATTAGAAAAATTATTCAGCAACATAAACAATATAAATATATGACAATATTTAGTTAAACATACTGACTTGACTTCACCGTTCAAGAAAATTCGATACGCAACACAGAAATATTTTTCCAAAAAATAAAGAAGATCGGAATTAGTGTCAAATTGTGTATTTTATTTATGTCACCATATATTTTTGTTGACTCGCCACGTGACTAGTTGTTATTTTCAGGTCTATCCATTAGACTTTGTCAAATGACAATATTATTTTTGAACTATTCAGAATTATTGCATTTGATAATGTAAAGCAGAATAAAAGATTTCACACAAAAAATAAATAAATTTTATTATATATACACCGAAGAGCCATTACATTATGACCATCCTGATAATAACATGTAGGACCACCTTTAGCCCTCAAAACTGCTAGCACCCGCCGTGGCATTGATTCCACAAGGTGCTGATAGGTAGTCTGAGGTATCTGGCACCAAGCGATCACCAACTGGTCCTTCAATTCCCTCATATAGCGTGGAGGTAGCGTTGCAGCACGAATTTGGTTCTCCAAGTAGGACCACAAATGCTCTATTGGATTAAGGTCAGGTGAATTTGGGGGCCAAGGCATGACTTGAAAGTCACTGAAATGTGCCTCGAACCAATCCATGACGATTTGACCCTTATGACATGGTGCATTATCCTGTTGGTAAACACCATCCCCCGCAGGAAAAACTGTTACCATGAATGGGTGAACCTGGTCTGCAACAATGTTCAAGTAGCTTACTGACGTCTGGGATTGTTCCTGAGGATTATGGGTCCTAATATGCCCCATGAAAACATTGTTCCTGGGCGAGAAACCATGAAAACTTGGGCGAGCCCATTGTTATAGATGGAGGGTGGACATAATGCAATGGCTCTTCTGTGTATATATACATATATAAATTATTTTTTTTTTTTGAAAACGGAAGCTTTGTCGCCGATTGGCACGTAAACATAGTCAGATTTTTCTCCTAACCCCTTTGATTTTTCAACTGTGGGTTGAGACATCCTGCACTATTATGTACAGTTCACCAAAAAAAAAAAAAAAAAAAAAAAAAAAAAAAAAAAAAAANTACTGAAGAAAGAAAAGAAAAAGAAAAATAAGAAAAGGGATTACTCTGAATAACTTTTAATTTAATGATCGGATCACCACGTTCTAGGACTCAGTCTTAATGGTTTGAAGGAGTGACTTCACCTATTACTATTCCTCTATTATTTTATTTAATAATAGTCAGAAAGATTTTAAGTTGTAAAATGTACTATTTTTCACATCATTTTAAAGCATGCAATTTTAAATGAAAAATTAATTATTGTATCTTGTTTGTTCATATTCACTTCCAAAAAAATGGTTTATACCATCAAATCTCACATCATTTTTTGGTTTTTCCTGTTTGACGGGCAGAATTCGACGAGAAAACAATTTCATAATTATCAGGAAGTGCATTATCATCTAAAAATTCGCCTTCCTTTCCAGAACTATTAGACAGGTAAAGATATTTAGGTAAGCCCATTCCAACCACAATCAATGCTTGTGTTTTCACACTCACAGTGTTGAAAGGGAGAGAAAGTGATAAGATAATTAGTCTAAAATTCGTGCCAAATCTATCATTCCGGGATCGAAGAACAGGGCGATCATTATCAGCTACTTGTAACTAATTTTTTTTAATCAGATTTTGCCAGTAGGTATTAAAGAGTCCTCTTGCCATCTGGCTAATCGTTAAAGGTTTTCGTGGTTTTCCTCTCCATGTAACGCAAATACTGCTTAGTTGTTTTCTAAAATGGGTTTGAAATTACAAGGCTACGGAGCTCAACATTAGTAGTCATAAATACTTAAATATCAACTACAACTACCTACTTATAAAGGATTAGTATTACTCACGATGGATCGAAACTTTTAGTTTACAATGAATTTAAGATAGGATGCCCATCCGTGGCCTATCCGTATCTCTAATCACGTTTCCGTGCATAAGGTTGTATAATGGGTCATCCCCCATTCGATTCGTTTGGCTTAAAGAAAAAAAAATTACAGATGAAATGTTAATTTATACTGCCCTGTCTAGTCTGCAAGCAACTCTAAAGAATATTTAGTCCACTTAATGAAACAAGAATTGACAAGCAATATCGTTTTTCATTGGATAAAAGCACATGCAGGCCATAATGGGTAACGAGGAGGCTGATAAGTTAACCAAATTAGCCTGTGAGAGATCAACAGTCGACCTGTTTGAAGATCCCAGCAGGCGGACTGCAAGAACTTTGGAACGCCAAAAATGGATTGCATGGCAGGAGAGATGGAGTGGCAATTTTACAAAGGGGAGGCACACCTTCTTAGCTCCTCCTGAAAGTTCAAAACAGGGAAGTCACTGGGAATTTCTTTTTAAATCAATTCCTAAATAATCATAGCTGTCATGGACAACATCAGTCCGTCCAGGTTTTCTGGGGGAGTTTAGCTGTGTCATATGCACGTAGTTAAAAATGATCGCATTGCTTCAAGTGTAAGGGACCCAAACTATGGCTTTTTTTATTTTCCTTACCGACGGAGATTCAAAAAACAGCCTTAAAGGCTATTAATCAGTATTTCCTACACTAAAGTGTTTTTCTTCTTTTTTTTCTAAGATTAAGGTTTTTTTTCCCTAATCTAACATTAGTTGGAAATTCGTTGCGAAAAAAATCTTCTAAGGGAGAGAGTTTAGCAAAGGGGAAGACTGGATGCTGATTTTTGAATATTGCTTGTACAATTATATGAAGTATTGTATAAGCAATTGTATAAGTAACTGAAGCTAACAAAAGAAACAATCCAAACATTTCCGACACTAGAACAATTAAAAAAAATACATAATTCTTTATTATTTCTAAAAACAGCTGTACATAGAAAATTAAAAGTGCTAACAAAATAAATGATTAAAAAATGTTCGTAAGGTAAAGTCATAAAATGCGTTTGATATGACTAATCAATGCTTTTTGATGTCTATAAGTCGCCATTCATCTTGTCAGATGAGTTTATTCCATTCTGTTGTGCTGTATTTCTCATGTAGTTCTCCTTTGCTTTCCAATAAAGAGTACGCCTGGTTTTACCATGTTCCTGAAACAAATTAAGAGTTTTATTCCTTTCCTGGCAATAAAGGTAGGTAAGGTACTTTATTGACGTCGCATTAGAGCTGCACAATGGGTTATCGGCGACGGTCTGGGAAATATTAGTGAGGATGATCCGAAGACCTGCCATCGCAATTTTGATCCTCTGCAGAGGGGATGGCTCCCTTGATTTGGTAGTCCGACGACCTGAACGCAAAGTCGAGCACTTTTTAATGAGGATGTAGTGCACCCTCGGTCTCTACGCAGGCTGATCAAAGTGATCACTCACTCGCTTACTGACCGCACCTAGTGATGCTTGACTTCGGTGTTCTACTGGGATCCGTGTCTTACCAATTAGTCCACTGCGGGACCTTGACAATAAAGGAGTTCCTACTTCACGTAATTTAGAGAGGAAATATAATGGCAACGAATTCTTATGTCTGATTAACAATTTTTTTTAAAATTTAAAATTAGTTTTCTCTGAGCTATTAAAATGCTTCTTTTCAGCTTTGCGAAGTTTTTTTTAAAGTTTATAACAATTCTGCTTGAAAACAGTTATTCAGCTTATTTTATTCGTTTATAACGTAGCATACACTATTTAAATGTTGTTCTAGACCCTTAAATTTAAATGTCTGTAAATAAAATCTAATTTTAAGACTATTATTCATAAAAAGAATTAGTAGCTATTTTTTGAATTTCATATTTACGACTGTTAATGAACTTTATTTACATAGTCGGGGTTTTTAAAAAGAAGATTGATCCATTAGGGTTCCATAGTCGAAAAAAATTGGAACCTCTAGTTTATATGATATATTTATCATATAATATCTATTTTTGAATAGCATATTCACAAATTCTAATGAACTTTATTTATATTGTCTGGGTTATGCCAAAAGAAGGTAGATCCTTTAGAGTTCTATAGTCGAAAAAAAGTAAGAACTGCTGCTTTATATGATATATTCATCATATAAATGGTTAGTTTTTTAAAACCTTCAATTCTCAAGTTTCCAATTTACACACACAATAGGAATAAATATAAAATCTAAAATAGCGAGTCCTTAATGGTGTTCCGAGGAACCCTATGACTCCGTGGAAGGGTTACAAGAGTTCCGAGGGTTGGGAAATTTTTGCACTAGTTATGATTTTTGAAAACTGTAATAAAACATATATTTAAATAATAACCCATTATTCATTTATTATTTCTGTTACTTTTATGAAAATATATAATACTGTTTTTTTCTCCTAATATATTGAAAAAATGATAAAAAGGATGTGCAATTACAAAAGATTGAATTATTATTTTGCTTCGAAATTCAACAATGAAGAAGAATATGTTTCTCTAATAATCATTCTCGACATTTATTTCTGCTATTTTACGTTTTTTTTTCTTCAACGAAAGTCATTTTCAGTTAATTTATTTTCAGTTTTAGCTTACACTAAAACTTAAATTTAGAACTATTCTTGTATGCCTCTCCAGGCCTGCACATTTATCTGCCGGATATCAGCCTCAATTTTAAGAATAATATTGATAAAACGATATCTCGAAAAAATTTCCTTCTTCATACATTGATTGAATATTTTCAAAGTAATTGATAAAATTTCTATTATTAAATAATTTCAAAATGAGTCTTTCGTTGATTAACATATTCACAATTATTAATGAAACTTATTCATTAATTCTCCCGGGTTATGCCAAATTAAGATCTACCATCTAATACATCACGAATTTTTTTTTTGTCTCTTTACTAATAGTTCGTTTCATAGGCTAAAGCGTACTGCACTGCTTCACAATTAGCTTCAGGGGTTGACGAGCTATAGAGATTAGGGTTTCCTTACTGTATATAATATATAGTATGAGAGCTAAAGCAAATATGATATTTTTAAATTGTTACATTATTGTCTATAATTAAAATGAATCGAAGTGCGAAATTTGGGATATTAAACGAAAAGAGCTTATTAGTGCAGACGATATTTTAAGTCACGAAATCAGACAGGAATCCTTCGGGAAAAATTATTCAGTGAAGTGTTGTTTTGAATTCGATTTCATAACTTAAAATATCGTCTGCACTAATTAATTAACATCTCCTCGAACTATTAAGATTAAGTCTTAGAACGTGAAGATCCGATCATTAAATCAAAACTTATTCAGGGTGCTAACACAGGGTTTTTTGTGCACTGTACACGTGATTGGTTTTGTTTTACAATGAAGCATTTCTGTTTAGTGGCGAAAAGCAGAGATGGAATAATTTTCATTGTTAGAAAATTTCCAATAATTTAGTTAATGACCTTTCTAATATCTCCCCCTATGTTCTACTTGTGTATGATTTCGTATGTTCTACTGGCTGGTAAGGCACTGGATCATCCATCTACAAGCGTTTGCGGGTTCGATCTCCGCCGGCCGAAGACTCCCCGTGTAGTAAATGGTGACTGATGCACGCTAAATCTGATGAGTCGCAAAGTCCTCCATGTTCCCATAACAAATCAATGTGATGGTACTGATCCAGGTGTTTCCTTGTCTTCTAAATTGGCTAAAAAATACAATGCTACGGAGTTGAACATTCGTAGCCGTAAACCCAAAATTGGGTCAGCTGTTGAACCGGCTTCGAATCCCAGCGATTTTTGGTCGATGCGAATTTTGCACCCGGCAAGCACCGACCACAATGCTGACGTAAATTATCCTCAGGGGTAGGAGGATCATGGGTTAGAGTCCCCTTGCCGTCGGACTAACCGTTGGAGGTTTTCATGGTTTTCCACTGCATGTAACGCAGATGCTGGTTAATTTCATCAAACTCTCCTCCAAGAAGGCTAATTTCCCCCAATACTTGATACAGGAGTTCCCTTGTTGTCTTCTGGATTGGGGACAAAAATACAAGAGTACGGAGTTGAGCATTAGCAGTTGTAAATTCAAAATTGGGTCGGCTGTTCAACGACGGTTATAAAATAAATTAATGTTCTTCATAGAGCCGTGATGACTCGCAGGACAGATGTATGCCTTTTAATGAGATAACCCGGGTTCGAATCTCAGCATGGGCGGGTCTATACGAATTCCACACCCGCCTCGCATTGACCGCAGTACTGACATAAAATATCCTCAGTGGTAGACCGATCATGGGTTAGACTTCCTTTGCCGTGAGGCAAACCTTGGGAGGTTTTCGCGGTTTTCTTCTCCATGTAACTCAAATGCGGGTTAGTTCCATCAAGAAGTTCTTCTCAAAGACAAATTTCTCCCAATACTTAATCCAGGAGTTCTTTTGTCTTCTGTATTGGGTTTCAAATTGCTAGGCTACGGAGTTGAAATTTAGCAGTCGTAAATCCGAAAATTGGGTCGGCTGTTCAACGATGATTATAAAATATTAAATAAAATAAAATGTTCTACATAATCTGTTTTATTTTAATATCTACATCTTTTAATACACTGATTCTCATCAACACTCTCCCACACACACACATACACCTTTTTTATGATCTCCCAACCATTTTTGTCCGTCTTTACTCTATTAGCCAATTCTTTTTTTTCTTGCTCTAGCTTATTTGAAAATTCTCTCTGCTTTTTGTGTTTTTATTCCGCCCTTAGAAAGTGAAGAAAAAGATTCATTATTGTATTGAAACGAAAGTATTTCTGTTTATGAGGCATTATTTGTACTTTTTCCATGTTGTATTTTCAAACAACACAAAGTTAAAAATTTTTCTGTCTGTGAAAGAAATGAAGTTTTAATTTTGTTTCTTACCGCATAAAAAGGACTTTTATCAGATTCAAATTTCATTTTTTCGCACCAAATAGCCCAATAAAGATGAGCCGCCATTCCAAAAAGTTCCAGTTCATCCAAAATTTTTTCTGTTTCTGATTCTACATCAGAAACATCCATTACATCTTCTTGTACTAGTTGATGAAGATAGGTTCGTATAAATTCAATCTATATAAGGAAAAACAAGTGGTAATATTGAATAAGACAGCAAGTTAGGGGAGTTCTTTCCATTTATCGAACAATACGATATGCTTTTACAATAGAAGGCTTATAAAAAACTCAATGCAATTATATGGTTTCACTATAATATGTGAGCGATAAATTTTGCATTTTTTCTGCATATTAAAAGAAATGCAAGTGCAGCCGCTGTTTGGTAACTTGACGTAAACTGTAACATTGCTTAACATTATATCTTGCTTTGCTGTTCAAAACCTGTAAGACTAAGAAACTGACAGTGTGTAAAAGATGTGCAGAAAGTACGATGAAATGGAAAAAGTTAACGAGAATTATTAATTGTTTAAACTTACAGTAAAAAAAAATCCTGCTAGTATATTTTATGTTCTACAGAGATATTTTTTACACCAATTTAACATTTAATAATTAGTTTGAGAATTATTAACTGCTGAACTTGTAAGGCTGCTCTATAGACCACAGAAACACAACTTCAGTGTTGTAATTTGACATGCTGAAAGGACCATATTTGTTTATAAACTTATACGAATACGAATTTTATACGAATTTTCTCGAAATTCCAACTTAATTGAAAGTTATTGCAATTTCAAGGTTTTTTTCCTGAATTTTCACTCCTATTTCTTGCTTTAAATGTTTATATGTCATAGAAAAATTAATTTTTCTCTCTCGAGATATTTATTTTATAAGTTCATCATTGATGGATATTTTCATTTGAGGACTTATGGATATTTTAATTTTGAACTTTTTTATACTACTGTTAGTTTTTATTTGTCAAAAGCACTAGTAAAAGAGAACATCACTGCAGAGATAATTCATGCACATAAAATTTATAGTGCAAAATTACAGAATTATAACTTTACGTAAGTTTTTTCTTTGAAATTATTTATTCAAATGTTAGTTTTTAATGATCACCAGATTCTAGTCCAATAGAATATGAATGTGTAGAGATAATTCGTTCATTGAAAGTTTATAGTGCAAAATTATAGAAAAATGAATTTTTGTAGCTTTTATTTGTCAAAAGCACAAGTAAAACAGAATATCATTGCAGAGATAATTCATGCATATAAAATTTATAGTGCAATTCATGCTCATAAAATTTATAGTGCAAAATTATAGAATTATAACTTTATGTAAATTTTTTATTTGAAATTATTTTTTAAAATGATAGTTTATAATGATCACCAGATTCTAGTCCAATAGAACATAAATGGGGAGATAATTCGTTCACAGAAAGTTTATAGTAATGATTATAAAAGAATGAATTTTTGAAAATCTTAATTTTGAGATTTTTTATATTAGGGATAGTTTTTATTTGTCATAAGCACAAGTCAAACAGGACATCAGTTCTGAGATAATTCATGCACATAAAATTTATAGTGCAAAATTATCGAATTATATCTTTATGTAAATTTTTATTTGGGATTATTTATTCAAATGACAGTTTTTAATGATCACCAGATTTTAGTCAAATACAACACGAATGTGGTGATAATTCGTTCACATAAAGAGGGCAAAAGAATGAATTTCTATAGAATGAATTCTTATAGAAGACAATAAGCATTATTGTGGATGTTTTCTTTTTGCTAATAGTAGTTTTCATTCCTCATCAGAAAAAGTCAACCTGTACTTAATTGATAAGATTGTTTGTAAATATTAAATTTAAAGTATAAAGTTATTATTCTTTGGGTCTTTTCATTATAAAGAGTGCTCAAACGGAATATGAATGCGCAGTTTGTTCGAGCTCATCGAATATAGTTCGTTCACCAGGAGTTGGCACTTGGCTCCGCCTTCATCACGTGGTATCCGACGATTCTATTTCACTAGTTTTTGGAGAAGTATGTGAACTATCTCAACAAGGTTTCTGTTTGGCGATCGTATGACAAAAATATTTATTTCGCAATCTTCATGTGCATTTTTTTAACATTAAATACTTCGTAAATTTGATGATATTTCTCTCTTTTGAGTGAATAGTTTGTCCTTTTTGAGACGTTTTGCTGATTAAAATAGCAGTTTTTAAATTTAAAATATATTTAATTAGCTAGAGTAACGAATGGTGTAGTAGTAGATGATAAAGCGAAGTAAGGGACTGAAAAAGAATTCACTGTTTGCGTTTGCGCTGCCTCATTTTCAAGCTCACAGATGTTTCTTCTCTTACTCCCGCGCTGAAATAAACTCTGCGTCCGAGGAGGCGGTGCCAAGAGCCAACTCCTGGTGAACGAACTATATCCAAGTTCACCTTATTCTTGGGATTATTGAGATGATTTTCTAAATTAAAATTAGCATTGTACAGAATAGTGGAAAATGTCTTTCAAAAATAATGTGATGTGAATTGGCATCATTTTGATGAAACTTGATACATACCTTCTCCTCTTTTGAAGGATATTTGTTGATACTGAGAGTAAAATAAGGTGGATCGGGTGTATTATAGTCATAAGTCCATTCACAGAAGTGATTTGCTATGTCAAATGACCTAAAATAATATTGAGTAAATGTTAAATTGATGGAAAACATTTTTTTTCCTCAGTAATTTTAATACTTCGGTAGTGAGTAAAAAAAGAATGTCGGGTCGGTAATCTTGTCATACTGCGGTAGTGACACCCATTGATAAAAATAAGACGCACTACCGAACAACTACTACTACTTACACTTCAATATGTAATTACATTACAATATGTAATCACATTACAATATGTAATCACATTACAATATGTAATCACATTACTGAGCGATTTAACTTTATATCCGTCGTTGAACAGCCGACCCAATTTTTGGGTTTACGACTACTAGCGTTCAACTCCTATCCTTGTAATTTTGAACCAATCCGGAAGACAAGGAAACTCCTGAATCAGTAACCCCAAGAGGTATTGATTTGTTATGGGAACATGAAGGACTTTGCGAGTCGACAGATTTAACGTGCATCAGTCACCATTTACACGGGGAGTCTTCGGCCGACCCACGGCGATCCCACGAACTGTTGGACTTGGGCCCAGTGCCCTACCAACCCGGCTGGAAGGAAATACGAAAGTAGTCTCTTGTTTTTTGCAGTTTTAAGTAATAATATTACATTGAATATTGTGAACCGCTACATTCTGCTGACTCGGATGTCGGGTCGGTAACCTCGTCAAGAACTTAAACTGAATTACAAAATGCCAGTATATTTTCAAAAATTCTTTTTATAGTTCTATTAGGCATCTCAAAATTTATGTTAAAATAAACGTGTTCTGTTTTAGACGCAAAAAACAACGATCTATTTTGCGAACGATATTAATTATTAATATTTTTTTTTGAGAATGAAAAGAAATATCACCTGTAGTTATAGGCTCCGAATTCAAAGTCAATGAACATGAGATTTGGTTCCATTTTATTTGCAGAATCTTCCCGCAGAAGAATATTTCCTTTGAAAAAAAAAATAAAAGAAAGAAATTCTTATTTTTATTTCAGAGCAAAAATTTAATTACATTTTGTAGTGTATCTAACTAACACTACAAATATGCTATTCCAATTCACTAGTATATAAGACATGTTAACTCGATTCTATGGTGGGGTTCTTAGATGAAGGTTGACACGTTCTATAACTTCTGACTCCACATTGGTGACCTTCGGACGTGATGTGAACACGTCTACCTTGACAGAAACTTCGTTATGAACACGCCAGCCTTGACAGTAACGCCCACTTCGATTTGAACACGCCTCCCTCGATGGATGGTCCACATTGAACAGTTGACTTGCTACTTGTGACTGCGACTTCATCCACTTCCTCGCGCTGTTGCTACTCAGTCTCGATCTCACACAACGTTGGCCTGTATACACTCGACTGCTAATGGCAACACAAGAGCAACCACGAGAATATGGCAACACACGAGCTAATGGCAACACAGGAGCAACCACGACCGTGAACTTAATACAGCTCTCACGATCAGCAAAAGCACGGTGATCTAAATACAGCCCTCCCTGTTTCTCACAAAAACAGCAATGATACAACTAGTGGTATCCGTTCATCGAATTCTGTCACAGCTAAAATTCTGGTGAGGGAGTACTGTAGTGTATCTAACTACAACTACAAATATACTATTGCAATTCACTAGTATATAAGACATGTTAACTCGATTCTACGGTGGGGTACCTTTTTTATAGATGAAGGTTGACATTGTCGAAAACAACTCTCCCCACACATTTTATCTATGCAATTGCAATCGTTGCTATTTAAGGCATTTAGCAATCTGAAATGTAAATGGGAAAACACATCTATTACTCTAATTAATTAGTGCGAATAATATATAAAGTGATGAAATTAGAAAAACTAAATACCCTGTCTCTGAAGTTAAGGTAATTATGCTAATATTATGTACTTTGTAAGTTAAAGCATTGTTAGCAAACTCACCTCCTTGGAGATCGTTATGGCAAAACACAATAGGTGAAGTCGATTTTTCCATTTCTTTTCTGAAAAAAAAAGTATCTCTTTAATTTGAACATTTGAATTAAACTGTCTGACTGATGGTCGTCTGATGGCATCGACTGATGGTGTTAGGTACGGATAAAGCTCCTATACTATCAGAGCTGACCTATCAAGCAATATTGGAGCAGACAAGTTCGCAAGTTAACGTTATGTTAGTATTAGTTATGTTATGTGCTTATATTAGCTCTTTGCTCCAAAAGTAAATGATAAGTCGGCCTGTCTAATTCAGGGGCTCTAGATACGGAGTTTGTCCGGTCTAGTGCAAAATGCCACAATCGGAGATTTACGTTACCCGTAAACTCAACTGAGAGCGTTGCGAGTGGAACTGGAACACTTATAGTTTGTCAAGAAGAATAGTCGGTGCTTAAGGATGTTATACTCCGTTGCAAGTTAAGAAAATACCATTGCGGTATAGGATTTAAGTAATCATCTGTGATTGCATATAGTTCCACTTTATCCGCCTTCATCACGTGGTATNTTATTCAAAAATTCTTAATTAATAAACTTTCTTGGGCAACGAGGTCTGGTCAGCAGGATGCATTTTTCGTCGGCAGAATACACGGCATTTGGAAAAGTATGAAAATTCAAGGTCTTTATTCGGTAAAATACTATGTACGTAAAAAGAGTAATTTTTTTTATTAAACATAACATAGTAAATGTGAGAAATATAAAATAAATGATAATAAAAAAAAAAATTCGAGTTCACATGAATTCTTTTTGATTCCACTTAAAGTTTAATCATTTTTGTAATGCATATATTTGTGGGATAAATTTTTTTGATAGTAAATGTTTTTGGCAATAAATTTTAACAATATGGGAGTTTGACTTCTAAATAAATACTACTTTTCAATCTAAACATTTTTAAAGATTACTTATTTTCTTTGTTGTATGCATATTTTCTGAAAAAAAAAAAAAAAACAGTATCTTTTTAATTCGAACATTTGAATTAAACTGTAAAAATATTTACAAAACTGAAGAATATCGACTGATGATGTTTGGTACGGAGTTTGTCCGGTCTAGTGCAAAATGCCACAATCGGAGATTTACGTTACCCGAGAGCGTTGCGAGTGGAACTGGAACACTTATAGTTTGTCAAGAAGAATAGTCGGTGTTTAAGGATGTTATACTCCGTTGCAAGTTAAGAAAAGACCATTGCGGTATAGGATTTAAGTAATCATCTGTGATTGCATATAGTTCCACTTTATTTCGTTATCAAATTATGCAAATATGCTTCCAAGCAGTTTAAAAGCTTTTACAAGTTATACACGTCAAACAGAAATTTAATTCGTGCTATCATGTCTTACTGCTATCATGTCTTTCAAAGTCTTACTGGAATCCTAGACTTGACGAATATTTCGATAAATAAGGAGAACATTCGCTGCTGAAAAAGAAGCAACTATATGGCGTTTCAAGAGCATTGGATTTGATTGGACCGCTAAAAATGGTGTGTCTTATACTGACATGCCTTTAAGAAATCAAATGCGAGATAAGGAATTTTTACTTTTGTTTCAGTGTCGAGGAAAATTGTCTGCAAGAAACAATATTTATTATTATTATTTTTTTTTAGTTTCCTTAAATAATACTATTAGAAAGACATAAATTTGAAATTGCCAAAATGTTATCTATGCAATACTTTTAAGGTTCGAAAGAAAATTACAGAATTTTTTAGAAAAGTATCCATATTACAAAAAGGCTATAAAAATTAAATGTCATAAGACATATATCTTTAAACACGCCACCTGTCGTATTGTACTCATGAACTCGATAGTAAGAGTTTCAGACGCAACTTTTGAAGTCCGTTTTCGAAATGGTCTTCAGTTCGGACGTCGAGGTGATTATTTTGATTTCAACATTCTAACTTTAAATCTAAACAAACTTTTCTGTTTCAATGCGTTTTCTTAAGTCAGCGAATGGTTAATGCGAGGAATATAGTCAACGATTTATCTCTAATACCTCCAAAAATTACAAATTCGCTAAAGATACTAGTTAAGATATCAAAAACATGAGAAGTTGTGGCTAAAGGGATAGAGCGTTCGCCAATGAGGTGAACAGGGTTCGAATCCCAGCGATGGCTGGTGGATACGATTTCCACACCCGGATCGCACCGACCATAGTGCTGACGTAAACTGTCCTCATTGGTAGACAGATCATAGGTCACAGTCCCCTTGCCGTCAGACTAACCGTGGGAGGTCTTCGTGATTTTTTCTCCATTTAACGCAAATCCGGCTTACTTACATCAGAATGTCCTCCACGAAGGAAAATTTTCCCCAATACTTGATCCAGAAGTTCCCTTGTCTTCCGCATTGGGTGTAATAAATAGGAATTTATTGGAGTTTTTTTTGTATCAATACTTTTTAAAGAAGGGTTATTTTTCAATAGATGGCACCACTATGATAAAATTTAAATGCAATCAAAATTATGATATTTCATGAGAAAATTTTATTTATTCTTTTAAAATGGGATTTTTGGGGTAGATTGTGGATATAAATTGTATTATCATTTAAGGAGGTTTAGATTATCACTTTTATGGCGTATTAATGGGGTTGTAGCTGGTTTTTCTTGTGGATCTTTTTTTTTGTTGTTCTGACGTCCACTGGATGCGGGATGACTTTTGAGCGAGTAAACAGGTCAGTATGGATTATCCCGCTTTGCTGAGAAAAGTATAAGAGGCGTGAAGAGTGGCTGAAAAAGTAGTACGACGGGAGTGCGGATCGTGCCCGATGGAATGTTGAGTTGAAACATCACCGCTGACAGGATCTATCATGGCTGTTAGAAGTATGTTCTGAGCCGGTATCATCGAGAATGAGTGTAGATTTAGCTGGAATCTCGGAATGAGTTGATCCAGGCGGAAATGCTGAAAGGTTGATATTTGGAAAGAGTCCCTGGATACCGCGACTAATTACGCCACATTGATCGGATGAGCTGTTTCCTGGAAGAAAGTTGATCTGAAGCCTCAGAATAGTTGACTGGATATGATAGACGGAGTGTCGCTAGATTCAAGACGGTTGACAAGAAGTGAGCGTTCCTCGGCAGAAAATCAAGTGTTTCTAAAGAGCTGAATGGTGGTCGGAAGGTCGAGGTTCTCCTAGTCCACAAGTCTACCTGCAGGCCCGGTGGGCGTTCCAGAAGGTGATCTGCAAGTTCCTTTGTATTTATAAACTCTAATTTCTTACCTTTTTAGTAACTTTTTAGAAGAGCATTTTATTCCGTATTTTAAATTATTTCTATCCGATGTTAAGATACCTATTTTAAGATGAGCCTTGGATATTTAATTTTAATTATCTGCTGTAGGAATACAAGGACTTAAAGTTTAAATGTTTTTGTAAATTTAGAATGAGCTAGTATTTTTATTTCGTAAATGTCTCTTTTAGTGTGAATTAATTTAATGTTATGCATATGAAATTTAAAGGTGCTTTTTATCGAAAAGTTTTATCTTGAGAATAACCATTTGGAAATTTAAAAGTGTATAAATTGAAATTTTGAGTGCACATGAAGGCATCTGGAAATGATCGGGATTGTGTTGGTTGTTAATTTATAGTTATAATAAAATTTACTTTTTATTGTTAAAAGTTTCATGTACTTCATTAGTCAAGTGTCTATTTTTGAACCTGGGTAACCGTTACCAAAATTCAATTAAAAAATCACAGCCTTGCCAAAGTATGAAGGGTAACGGTACATGGGTTCAAAATAGCAAGACTATGGAGATGAACATTAGCTGTCGTTACCCTAAATTAGGTTGGCTGCTCCGACGGTTATAAAATAAAATAAGATATCAAAGACATTAAGAAGATATCGACGCGAAATGTGAGAAGTACTTACAAAAATTACTGAAAAATTTGTTTCTACAATTTTTAAAGTATTTTACCTCTTTCTCTTCCTCTCTTTTTTATTCTTTTTTTTTGAACAGAAAGATATTTTAAATACAAAGCTAAGCAGATTGGAGACCACTGAAAATGGCAACTCTAGTGTTAATATTTCAAAAGAGAAGATAAGTTCGAAAGATCTCACTTGCTCACTGTGCAACTATAAGTGATTTTTCAAATTATAGTGATAAGATGTGCCACAGATAAAGGGGCCAGCAGTAATACCCTTAAGGTAAAAGTATAGTAAAAACTGAAATTAAATTGAAAAGAAACAATAGTAAAGCGGGCAAAAAAGCTTCTGGAGAATACGATTCCTCAGCACAATGGGATTGTTGACGTCGTTTTACGGTGAACGAACAATGCAAAAATGTTAATTTTGTTCTTATTAGTAATACATATCTGGGAAGAACAATAATTTCAAAAATTCTAAAAGGTTAATAAATTAATAGCTTAAAAATAAGAAATAGTGCGTGGAATCCCTCCGCGAGGAAGAAGTGAAACTTCGTAATGTGGAAATGAAAATTTGTCTTTCAATTTTGTCTTTCAAAATTCAAATTTGTCTTTAAGGAAGGTTAGTAATGTTTCAGCTTCAGGTAACGAGAAATTCACATTAAAATCTCCTGCAAGGATCACAGCCCGCTCACAATAATCAATTTCTTCACCAGTAACGTCTGCCAGAGCTTGTGAACCTGCAGTGGATAGGGGCAATAAAGGTGTTCCGTCATCAATAAACAGTTAGTTTGAATAATTGTTTTAAATCGTCTGCTGATGTAATAACTGCAACTCTAGCTGGTTGCTAGGCAACCAAACGACTTTTTCTTGTTATTAATGTTTTGTTTTGTTTATCATTGCGTTAAACGTTTAACACAACCTTGTTGGAAGTCGCATTAGAAGTTTCACTTCAATAATTTTGTACTCTATAAGTACTAAATGGAAGAGAACTTTGTACCTACACTTTGAGGTGCTGATATACTGCCAAAAAGAAGTGAAACAGAAAACACTGTAAGTATCGAAAGTCATAGTTTATTTTTTCCCTCCCCTTTCGGACTTAGAGCGTTTTCAGTTTTTAGTCCTTAATTTATGATCTATTAAATGAACATACAAAACACGATTTTTTTCAGAGTGATTAAGATCAGTCTTGGGACTTTTATTTACAGTACTTACGTTATCCAAGAAACTTCGTTTCGGAATATGTCTCCAAGGGAAAAACCTTCCTTTGTCACTCGACGCGTATCTTTTTCTACTTCCTTTAACCACCTAAAAATAAAGAACGTTCAAAGAGCTTAGTAGATTTAAATGTCAGTAGATTTAAATGTCAGTAGATTTAAATGTCAGTAGATTTAAATGTCAGTAGATTTAAAAGACTTTTAAAAATGTCAGGTCTTCAATGTATTGTAAAAATAAAATTATTTTAGCTTTATTTAAGTATTCAACATTGATTTATTTTGTCATCTCATTTCATTTTGGAAATCGTAGTGGATAAAGGCTGAGTGTTTGCAGTCTTCGAGTCCTTTTAAAGGGGAAGAAGGTTCCAAATACCTTTTTAGAGGTTAACGCCCCTCAATTTCTTGACCAATGACATGATATATTTGGGGTTTATATATCATGACATTGGCCCATATTAGAGGGACCGGAAAGTAATGTCGTCAAAAGTATGTATATATACACCGAAGAGCCATTACATTATGACCACCCTCCATCTATAACAATGGGCTCGCCCAGGTTTTCATGGTTTCTCGCCCAGGAACAATGTTTTCATGGGGCAAATTAGGACCCATAATCCTCCCTGACGTCTGTAAGCTACTTGAACATAGTTGCAGATCAGGTTCACGCATTCATGGCAACAGTTTTTCCTGCAGGGGATGGTGTTTACCAACAGGATATTGCACCATGTCATAAGGGTCGAATAGTCATGGATTGGTTCGAGGAACATTCCAGTGACTTTCAAGTCATGTCTTGGCCCCCAAACTTCACTGACCTTAATCCTATAGAGCATTTGTGGTCCTACTTGGAAAACCAAATTC